TAAAGGATGGAATGATGAACATACGGAAATTGTTAAATCATTAGAAGAATACTGTAAAAATCTACCAAAATTAAGATTACCAGATGAAAATGACAATCTAGTTGTTAATACAGATACCTCAGATAAATATTGGGCATCTATATTAAAAATAGATTTAAATTAGATTTACAGATATTCAAGTGGAACATTCAATCAAGCAGAGATAAATTATACCACTCATGAAAAAGAATTACTTGCAATAATTAGAGGAATAAAAAAGTTTTCGTTATTCTTATCATTTAAAAAATTTATTGTTGAAACTGATAATTTACAAGTTGTAGGATTAGTCAAAAATAAATTATCAATGGAGCTTCAATATAGGAGATTAAACATATGGCAAGCATACTTATCATTTTATAATTTTGAAATAGTTCATATTAAAGGAGTTACAATTTTCTTGCAGATTTCTTGAAAAAAAATATTAAATTTGTAGATGGATAATATAAAAGGAATATTAGATGATATCAAATCTATGGCTATTTATGCCAGGAAGAAGCTGAAGATATCAAAATTGGGATGAAAACGACGAACGAAATTTTACAACATAATGTAAAAATTATGATGGAAATAAGTTCATCACAAACAAAAGTTACGAATGATATTATTGATCAAATTGAAGTTATTAAAGCCCAATTAAGATCACTAGATACTAAAGATACTATTGGATACGAACATGTTTATACCAAACATGTACAAACTCGAAGTGATCTACCAAGCGGAAGTAGTAGTGGACCAAAAAAGGATGTTATTATTCAAAATCCTAAAAAGATTACCATCAATGAATGACATACCAAATCCATCAGGATACAACCAAATGAAGTCTCTTTGTCACCAAAAGAAGAAGAGTATAAAATGTTTACCAAAATCATCTATGAATTATAGACATGTGATTCATATTTTATTTCACCAGAAGATCACATCCACCCGAGAATAATAATGATGAAAGATTCTGAGTCAACTATGGCAAAAATGCCGCTGACTATGGATACTTAGATTTAATATATCCAGATAAAAATCTTAAAGAAATGAAAGATTTGATGATATATTTAAATCTGAAATCTCTAGATATGCACAAGGAAGATTTATTTATCTAAAATTTTATACTATCAGTTCAGAAGTCGATGGTGTAATATTTTATCTAACAGAACATATTATAACAGTTGGATATGCTGGGAATAACTTTCTATGGACATTGGAGAAATTGACAGACCATTACCAAAATTTAATAGAGTATGGATCAAAAATCGTAGAGTTCTTAGATATGAAGTTCTCTATAATATGACTAAAAATATTTATGAAAAGAAATTTAGATGTTTATGCCAATATCAATGATGGACCATACTTGCTAATGATGGAAAGTAAAAATCTGAAGTACTCAAATACTTTATCAATAAATTTGATACTCATCAAATGCTGGAAGCATCTCAACCTTACAACGTGCATGTGAAGCAAGAAATTGTCCCAAATGTAGACAAAAATAATGCAAGAGGGAATGACCCACCATTTTGAAGGAATCTTACAAATACAAAAAAAAGACAGCCACATGCAAAGACAAATCCTAAAAGAAGATGTGATATAAAGCAGTTGCATAAAATGGAGGGATCAGAGGCTCTTGATAGAAAAATCATAAATTATTGTGCTATATGATGTATAGAATAATGTAAGATGTCAATAATTTTGCATCAAATACTTGTATAAATAGAGGCTTTCGGGCTAAGAGAAAGGCATAACGAATTTGAGCACTCAATCTTGTGAGAAAGCCAAAAAAACCTTTTTTCAGAATCTTGCATCAATTTTCAGATATATCAATACTACAAATTTTTTATAGATCATTCACATTCCAATCTTTCAAATAGAAAATGAGTTTCTAAATTACTTTTCTCATAAATTCTTGAAAGATTAAGGAAGAAATTTTTTTCTTACTTTAACAAAAAGAGAGTTTTCTTTAATTAGGATTTGTAGTTTTAATTCTAAGAAACGATACAGTGAGGGTAAGAAGCTGAAATAACAAAGATCCCGTTGAGGCAAGAGACCGTTAGAGGGAACAGTTTGCATATTCAGAGCTTGAAGGTCACTCGATTCTAAGGATAAATGCTAAAAATCAAAACTAAAGTAAAACTATTATTTTTGTTAAATTTGGAAATAATTCTTCTACGATCTTAAAGAATCGTACGGATTATTTATTTCAATGTTTATGTTTAAGATTATTCATGATGTTTGAAATGCTATTGTTTCATTATATTTATA